AATTCCAACCCCTCGACTGGCACTGCCTGTGGGCCTGGCTTTGGGACCTGCAAGGGAGAAGTTGGCACCAGAGGAGCCCCCAGAGAAGAGGGCTGTGCTGATGGGGCACATGGACCCACCTCGACCTGGAGCTCCCCCTAGTTTCCTGCCCCGTGGCAAGGTTCCCCTGAGGGGTGAGCAGGGGCTTGTTGCTGAGAGGGCTTCGGGCCTATACACTGAGGGAGGACAGACCCATCACCTAATAGGTGTTGGAGGTGGGACAGATAAATCCCTCAATAGACAACTGTGTGATTATAGGTGTGGGGCTGAAGTGGAATGGGGGCTGTCTGTAAGGATGGAGGGGGGAGCTTGAAAGTCTCAAGTCTGATTCTCCAAAATGTGACTCCCCTGTCCCTCCTGGACAGAAGAGCGGCTGGATGGGCCTCTCAATCTGGCAGGCAGTGGTATCAGCAGTATCAACATGGCCCTAGAGATCAACGGGGTGGTCTACACTGGTATGGGTACTGCAGGCTGTCTACACTGGCATGAGGTCAGGGGTATTTGCTCTGGCATGGGGATTTTAGATTTTCTCAGCTAGCATGAGGTTCAGGGATATCCAAACTTGCATGGGTAATGTGGGGTTCATGGGATTGCTACAATGGCATGGGTTAAAGGGTGTCTACAATGGCATGGGGTCTAAGGCATGACCTCTCTGGCATGGATACCATGGGATGTCTGCCTTGTCATGGACCTATGTATCAGTGTAAATATTTCTTGTTTACCTGTTTGAGGGTATCTATATTGCCATAGGAGTCTCTAACTGACCTAAGGAGCTTGTCCACATTGGTTTGTGGCAGGGATATGTGTGTGGTGTTGTAACAATCAGGACACTGACTTTTGTTTTCCTCTTCTGTTTCTGTGCCTACCTCCTCCTGCCTGTGTTTTCTCTCCACCACCTCCTCACCCCTTTATCAGGTGTCCTCTTTGCTCGCCGACAGCCTGTGCCAGCTTCCCAGGGCCCAACCAACCCTGTACCCCCACTCCCTACAGGGCCACCTTCCAGCACTTCACCCTGAGAACTCCCACTCAGAATTAAGAGTCCCAGCCCCAATGCTGAGTGGGGCCCCCCTCACCTTGATTCTTCTAGGGCACCCAGTCTAGGACCCAGCCCTGGGAGATGACACCCCCACCCCCACCCATCCATGCCCTGTGGACTTGAAGCCAAAGAGTTTTCTTTTGATGTTACATCTACCTCATTGTAAAGGGAGAGCACCTCCTCCCTGGCCAACTCCAGCAGCATCTACCAAAGAGTTCTGCCCTCCCTAACCCCCATCATTTCCTCATGTGCCTCCCTGTGTCAGTGTCATCTCTAGGACCCCACCTCTTCAAATCAGACCTGCTTCTCCTCAGAAGCCAGGTGAAGGGTTAGGTTGGGGTGTTGTGAAGGAGATATCCCTCAGGTCACATCTGAATAATAAAGCTGCAGTCCCTCCCTCTCCAGTGCCTCTTCTTGTTTGGGTCTGGGGGTTGGGAGGAATTATGTGGTATACACAGGTTGTTTTTGGGCCAGGGGTTCTCAAGAGGGGAAGACAGAATAGCAAAGGGCCGTGAAAGTAGTGGGCCTGGGTTTCATGATTCAGACTGCCTGGGTTCAAATCCTGATTCTGCTACTATAGTGCGGAGTGGCCTTGGGCAAGGCATTAGTCGCTTGAACCTTAGAAGACTCCTAAAGATCATGGTATCTCAGGGAGTCTTCTACTGATCTATGGGAATAGACCAATCCTGAAATAATAGGTGTATTTATATCGGCAACCTCGGGGAATAGGGTAGGAAACGTCTTTGGTACCCTTCAATTAGAAAAAGAAAAGTAAAAGTTTGGACAAGCAGGAACTGGAAACTAGGACAGAGCCTGATAGGTAGTCGTTGCCTAGGTAACCAGACAGCTTTTGACACCTTTCACTGGCCCTGCCGGTGACTTCCGGCACCCGAGGGCTGAGTCGTAACGTCACTTCTCGTATTGAGGGATGCCCCTGCGCTCTGATTAGCCAGCCTTCTCTATTTGGCCGGACGTCCCGCCCTCTGCCTGTTCCTCGGCTGAGGCGGAGGCGAGGTAGCTATGGCGGCTGTCAGCGACGTGCAGCGGCTACAGGCCCGTGTGGAGGAGTTGGAGCGCTGGGTGTACGGGTCTGGCGGGCCGCGCGGCTCGCGGAAGGTGAGTGATCTGGGATACAGTGCTGCCTTTCTGGGGCAGAGCAAGAGGACTACTGGCATGGTCCTCCGGATAGGTGCAACCGCTCCAGCCTCGTCGCCCCGCAGCCGGACCTTTGGAATAACAAAGGTTCGAAACCTTTCGGAGCTTATCGGACCCACGGGCTCCATTTCCATGGAGGACACTCAGCGTTATTAGGACCGATTGCGATGGGCTCATTGTAAACTGTGACTAAGACTGCCTCTGTCCTCTCGGGCTGGAGACCTAACACACTTGAAAATCTGACTAACGAGAGTTTCTGTAAGAGCTGAAGTCCACAATGGAAGGGCTGGCACAGAGCCCTGCGTAATCAATTGCTAAATATTGTGCAGAAAGAGGTCCGTGGGACACTGGAGGGCGCAGAGCAAAGGTGGATAAGGAAGGCTCCCGGAATGAGAGATGAGGTCTGAGAGAGCCAGAATTAGGAGGGAAGGGATTGGATACCGGGTGGGGTTTTTTT